CACATTTTTGACTATTCTATCCCCCACAAAGCTGTTTCTTAGCCAATCCAGTACTTGGTTAACTCTTAATCTTTTCCAGTAAATCAGTCCCTCCAGGCCTTTTTGTTATCTGCAGTTACTTTGATAATGAGGTGCCTGGTATTTAATTCTATATAACAGGTGCGGTCACATCTGTACTTGTTTCTGTGAAGTTCCTTGCACATCTGGGTGCTCAAAAATAGACACATACCCAGAGCTAGAGAAAACGCATTCTGTCTGGTTTGTGGCAGTATGTTTGTATATGCAGCCCTAAAATTGTGTTGGCTGCTGTTATCTTTTTTTATACTGCTATTTAGACTTCAGTTTGCAATGTAGCATTGCCCTTAAATCATTTAGTGTCATTTTCCCCCCCAGATTTTCCCCTTATTGAATATGACGATTAGTTTTACCCAAATGATGGTAACATGTCCAAGTTGCATCTCATTTTTTCTAATCTTATGTCCAGGTCCATTTTTATTTGCGCTCTCAGATTTTTGCCACTCCTCCAAATTTACTATCCCTGGCAAATTTTACTTGTACATTAATGAAAATATTAAATAAGAGTGGACCTACAATCAATCCCTAATGGATAGCTCTGTTAGAATGTTCAGTTGTTACTGGAGGAGAGGACAGTGACACCTTATTTTTTAAGCTGCATTTGGGGTGGGGGGGAAATGCATAGGTTGAGTACTTAAAACATTTTAACATATTCCTGCAGTGTGGTGTCTTCAGCTTGAACATGATTAAGGCTATGTTTTAGTCACAGGTATTTTTAGTAAAAGTCATGGACAGGTCACAGGCAAGAAACACAAATTCATGGTCTATGACTTGTATTATGCACCCCTGACTGAATCTTGGCCAGGGGGTGGGGTGGGCAGCAGCAGCCAGGGACCCCCACTAATGCTGGGGGGGAGGGGTGTTGCTGGGGGCTGGCAGGCTGCTTGGCTCCACAACTCCCTGGAAACGGCGACATTCCTCCTCCCTCTGCTTCTAGGCAGAGGTGTGGCCAGGCAGCTCTCTGCACTGTCTCCGCAGCTCCCATTGGCCAGGAACCACAACCAATGGGAGCTGCGGGGACAGAGCCAGCATGCAGAGTCCCCCTGGCTGTGCCTACGCCTAGGAGCAGAGGGTGTCACTACTTCTGGGGAGCCCTCATCCCCTCCCATGCCTGAGCCCCCCCACCCAAACTCCTGCTGCTGATGGGGGCGGTGGCCTGAGACTGCCCCAGCAGCAGCCAGTGCAACTGGCCCAGTGGCTGCCTGAGTTCCTCAGGTGGCTCCCAGGCCAGGTGCACCAGCCACTGCAGAAGTCATGGAGGTCACGGAATCCGTGACTTCTATGACAGACTCTCAGCCTTAATCATGATGATAATGGCTTACTTTTATTCTCCTCAAACTGCAGATGAGAAAATGCCAAAAAGACTGAGAGAAAGGAGATGGTGCCTTGTGCAACCATCACTTCTTATATCTACAATGACTTCCATCTGAGGCTCTCAATGCTTTACGCCTGCTACTTAAGTCTGAGACATTGGTAAGTGTTATCACCTCTTTACAGATCTCTAAATTCAGCCATGCAATAAAGTGTCTTGCCCAAGATAACCGAACAAGGCAATAGCAGTGAGGAAGGAAACCCATAATCTTGATTGCCAGGCCTCTGCTCTACCCACTGGACTATTTTATCTCCATAATGGGTTGTTTAATTGCCGAGGGTGGATTTCTCTTACTGTACATTTAGGGGAGTCTCTTCACTGCAGAGTTAACTCAGGCTGTTTACTCAAGTATTGCCCCTGTCCACATGCTCAACCCTCTCACACAAGTTTAATGGTATTTTCAATCCAGACTAGCTAGTCTTCTGGGAGATGTAGGCAATGATGAGCTCCCAAAATCCTAATAACCGGTTCCCTACCGGGTCCTCGGCAGCACTTCGGTGGCAGGGGGGTCTTCACTCGCTCCGGGTTTTCGGCAGCAGGTCCTTCACCCAGATCGAGTGAAGGACCCACCGCCGAAGACCTGGTAGGGAACCACGTGGTGAGTACAAGCCCCATGTGCCTGTCTCCCCCTTCCCCTCAGAACCTGCAACCCATCAACCCCCCCCTTGTCCTCGACCACCCCCTCCCAAGATCCCCCCACCCCAACTGCCCCCTCAAGACCCCACTCCCTACCCAACTCACCCCGGCTGGCCCCCTTACCATGCTGCTGTGTAAGGATGCCGTGCAGCCGCTGGAGCTTGAAGCCCCACCCCCTTACCCAGAGGTGAAAGTAAGCCGGTACGCCCATGTGCTGTACAGGGGAGGCCCGGCTTCCCCAGGGGGGCAATTTCAAGGGCCTGGGGCTCCCAGCAGGGGCTGGAGTCCCAGGCCCTTTAAATAGCCACCAGAGTCCCACTGCTGGAGCCTTGGGGTAGCGGCAGCGGGGCACTGGGGGCAATTTAAAAAGTCCGGGGCTTCTACTGCCCCGGCCCTTTAAATAGCTGCCGGAGCCCTGCTGCTGCTGCTACCCCAGGGCTCCAGCGGCTATTTAAAGGGCCAGGGTGGTAGAAGTAGGGGAGCCTCGGCCCTTTAAATAGCCCTCAGGAGCCCTGGGGTAGCGGGGGGCTCCAGCTGCCTCTGCTGCCCTGGTCTTTAAATAGCTGCTGGAGTCCCGCCAGTTCTCCAGGGCTCCGGGAGCTATTTAAAGGGCCAGGGTAGTAGAAGCAGGGGAACCCCGGGCCCTTTAAATAGCCCCCGGAGCCCTGGGGTAGCGGGGGGCTCCAGGGGCTGTTTAAAGGGCCAGGGTTCCAGCTGGGGAGGCTCCCCTGGCCCGTCCCTGCTCCCCCCACCGAACCGCGGCTATTTAAAGGACTGGGGCAGGATGTGGCCCGCGGACAGGAGTTTGCCCACCCACCCCTTTTAGGAACCAGTTCTACACGGGCTTCTAAATTTAGCGAACCGGCTCCAGCTCACCACTGGATATAAGTTAAAACCCAGGTGCTGCTTTCACTTGAGCTGGTAACCCATCCACTTGGGTGTGAAGACAGGCTAATCCACTTGAGTGCTGATTGTCCTCTGTGCTTTCCTACAATTCCCCCATGTGTCCAGAAGGACAGATGACATTTCTCACAATTCCCTGGGGATGATCAGTAGCTCAGCTGGCTGCAGCACAAAGAACCATGTGATAGGCCCCTAGAAAATCCTAGTGACCCACACAGGTGAGCACCACCGCTGAGGACACAGTAATTCCTGTGTGGCTGCTCACACCCAGGAGCCGCTCACACCAGTTAACTCTGCAGGGGAAACGAAGCATAGCTTTTTTTTAAAGAAACAGAAATGATAAAACATGAGTGGGGTCTTCACTTGCGTGTGATGAATGCATCCACATTTAGATGTGATGAGCTGAAGCAGCTTGTCTCTGGCTCAGTCTGAACAGAGAGACTGCCTGCTTTATGTATGGGTATACATACTCTTTATATAGGGTGGGGAGAGGAAAAACTTCGAAAACACTAAGACGAGCAGCCTCTCCATCTATAGTTGTAGGGAAGGCGACAAAGTTTCAGCAGTGCTTCCGGTGCAGAGCCAAGCTCTTATTCCTTGCAAGGCATTTCCCAAACATAAGGCAAGCAAGAGTAGCCCAACTGCTTTCATCTGACCAGCTCTCCCTGCCCTAGAACAATCTCTTAAGGTATTTGCCCTTGTTCCCAATAGTCTGTCTAGTAACTAATTTCCTATTCACTTACAACTTCATGGGGCAAAAAGACAAAGTCCTGTAAAACAGAATGGAAAGTGTAGCTGTGCCTTTCTCCTCTCCTCCTGTGTGATCTGTCCATGACCTGACTTTCCCTTTCCAGGGCCCCAACTTTTGGACTTTGGCTCAGCTCATAAACTGACAAATAAAAACACGACTTCACCCGTAACACAGCTTCTTCTCAAAGGCTGGTCTGGCCCCACCTATGCTTGTTCTCAGCAGGTTAGTGCTCCCTGAGGGAGGTTGGGAGATCTCTCTTCTTAAAATCCCATTGAATCTTGCAAAATGTGTTTGTTTTGTACATGCAGCAGTTTTTTCCTGCTCTGCCTGTAGCAGAGACTTACCTTATAAAGCAACTGATCGCAAACAGTAGCTGCTAAGGGAAACGAGATTTAGTAGTTTGCTCCTGTGTAAAGTCAGATCGCCATAGGAGCTGTGGCAGGCCTTGCATGACTTTACTGGCCCCTGAGTATATTCAGTTGGCCAGCATGCTGGAACAGCAGCAGCATTGTAAGAGTGAAGATATACTAGTCCCAGTCCATAACAATGGCAGCTAAGAGCTGGAAAAAGCTTTCCAGTACATCGCTTCCCACCCTTTGTAAGGCATGTTTGAGGTAACAGAAGGGGGAAGTACACTGGAGTATTTTAAATGTTCATAGTCTCATAAGCCTGGACATGACCTGTGTGACTGTGTTCATATAGTCACGTGGTTAGTCAGTGACCCAGCTCAGAGAACTCAGCCTATCTACAGAACAAGCTTATCATTTGATATGTTTTTCTGTTCTGCACCCACCAATGTGGGATCAGGTGTGCTGTTCCTGTCCTCAAGTAGTTACTTCAACCACATCATTAAACTGTAGCATCTGACATTGCAGCTCGTGAGGGTTGGTCTATGCTGCACGCCCAGGCCAGCTGACTTGGGCTATCATTGTGGTGTGGATATTTGGGCTCACATGAGCTCTAGGACCCTCCCCCCTCGCAGGGTGCTAGACCCAGTGGTCCAGCCCAAGCCTGAATGTCTACACCACAGTTAAACAGCCCCGTAGCTGAGACCTACAAGCCCCAGTCAGCTGGTACAGGCCAGCCATGGGTTTTTAATTGCAGTGTAGACATACCCCGAGAGGCCTGGTTAAACATGTATGCCCCTCATTGTCCTGAAGCTCCTCAAACTCAGTGGTAGCAAGGGAGTTCTGCAGGAGCAGGGCCCTTAGCCAAAATACGCTGATGCTGATCCTGGATGCTTTAGGGTGTCTCTTCACAGCACCGTTAGCTCAAGTTTTACCCCTAACTCGACTCCTATCCACAAACACATCCATCTCTAGTGTGAGTGAACCGGTGCTTGAACTAGCTGGCCTGTTTGGGGTGGAGTGGTGGGAGGTGTGTTAAAGCTCAAGTGACGCTGATGTTTGAGCTAATAGTGTAGTGGGAATACAACTACTCCACAGCAGCTAATCCAGTTGTTCCGCTAATCATTGTGTGTAACTTTTTCCCTGCCATGAACCCATTTTCAGATATCCTGCTTCCCATGACCCCACACAGCATGGAAGTTGTCATTTTAAAATGGCATCCTCTGCACAGTGTGACATATCACACCCCTAACATGAGGTCCTGCTGTGTGGAGGATACGATTTTGTAAAATGGCATCTTCCACGCATTTGGGATTGTTGCGCCTCTATCCACTGATGGAGAGACCCACTTGGGATTGCAACCCATAGTTTTGGTACTGCTGGTGTAATTCCAGTGTTGTTTTTAAGTGTGGTTGCTGTCAGTCAGGCCAGATCAGCTCGAGCTGTACTAACTCAAGCTACCGTTTGCAGTAAAGACAAGACCTTAGTCTCCTGTAAGAGCAAAACACAAGATTTTAAATGTCCTGACAAGTTATAGGTGAAGATGCCTTTCTCACTCAAGTAACTAGGTTCTAGGCCTTTCAGGGCTTTAAAGATTGTAAGCAACCCTCTGCACTGCATGCAGAGCACCAGCATAGTATGTTCATAGCAACTTGTCCCTCTGAGGTGAACTGCTGTGTTCAGCTCCAGCTCATGTTTTAGAAAAAGAATTGTGGCATTAATCTATCCTGGAGAGGACAGAGGTAAGGCTCTCAGTGTCCAGGCCATGTGAGAGAGGGTGAGCTGCAACTTCCAGGAAAGCTGTAGGTTTTAAAAAAAAGGCATAAACTGGAAAGTCAGCAGGAGGAGCAGTTTGAGAACATTTGTACTGTGAAGTGGGTTCAAAAGAAGGTGCCAGCCTCCTCAAACGTCTCCTTACCAAACAGCAGCATGCCTGGGCCACGCTTCTGCCACCTCTCATACATTGCCTTCTGACACCGATAAAAGTAGCTAGACTCTGGCATGTGGGGTTGATGAAGGTATGTGATGCTGAATAACTTCTGCTTCCAGATAGTATTAAAACCTCTCCTGTTGCAGATATGCATGTAGATAGAACAGAAGCGAAACTCATGGTACATAACCAGTGAGAAACTACAGGAAGGAAGAGTAATGACTATTCAGAGCCCTCAGAGAAGGAAAGAAGCAACTTTCTGCAAAAGCACTTCGGCACAGTCTACAGCTGAGTCATCCAAATCTCCTTAGTGGTGCTGTACGCTGCTGGGAGAGCTGAAATACGTCCCACTGCTATAGTGTTTTCCATCTGAGGCTCTCAAAGCTCTTTCTACACTAAGGAAGCCTTGCCACATTCCTGTGAGGTATATTATTCCTGTTTTATAGATGAAGAGCTGAGGCCCAGAGTGATGAAGTGACTTGCCCAACGTCGCATAATGAGCACCTGATGGACAAGACTTTCTTCCCAATCAACACAGACCCTTTGCATCTGTCCAACAGTTGAAGGACATAATTAATTCCATCTCTGCACCAAAACCCATCACTGCTGGAACGAGAGAATCTGTGGACTACTAATACAGTTGGAGCTGTGCTAACAACGCTTTCGGTAAAGAGAAGCGAAGAGACCAGGAGTGTCAACGGTCAGAGGTTTGCTTGAGCAGGGATCTAACCACCAACAACTAGTGGCACACGGCATTGTGCCCTCAAGTGGTATTAACAACTCTCATAAGCAATAGATTCCAGACCTCCCTGCTAGCTTTCACCTATTATGGGGCAAGAAACTCTTCCAGTTCATGTTGTTTTATTCTGCATCTAAAAATATGGAAGAACAAAGATCTGTAATTTTTGGAATCTTCAGCAAGATTTGAGAGTAGGAATTAGATCTGGAAAGAGTGCAACTCTTCAATGAGAACTATGCTATGTTTGGCTGTCTTTGGTTGTAAGAGTAGAAGTGGAGTATTAGCTTGCTTGTTATAACTGAGTGCCAGGCTCTCTAACTGGTGTGACTTGGATGTATGGAATATATGTTGCTAGTATCTAAGGAACTCTGGCCTTCAACAGCAATTTTTAAAAAATGAATGTTTATGAAGTGATCATAATGAGCTAGAACGGAACCGGGAGGGTCTGAATTTATTAAAATCATTATGACTGATCTAAAAGGGGATGGTGGAAATAGCTTCCTGTTAAAATTCACAGATGATGCTAAATGGTGAGGAATTGCAAATGAGAACTGAATAATACTGAGGAGCTTAAAGAAGTAGTTAGAAATACAGACAAGAACTAAAACCAATTAATTTGGAAAAGTACAAATTTAAAGCACATGGAGGAAAATAACCTGATAAGGAAATCAGAAATGGAACTTGGGAATACTGAAGAAGAATCTGTGGGAGGAGACTGAATAGCAAATTAGACACATTTGAGAGGATATGGTTAAAAACAAGTCATTAGCAAGTATTGGGGAAGATGATAAATCCTTCTCACTGATAGCCCTAGAATAGCTTGTTCTGTTCTAGGCACTTCAGTATTAGAAGTTGCATAAAAACTTCTCTGGCCTCCCCTTATGAGAGAAGGGGAAGACTCATGAGAAAATAAAAAGTAATTAGCAGTTTCAGATGCTACACCTGCCCTTGAAGCCCCCTGACGAGGTTTTTTTTTTGTGGTTTTTAAAGACATGCTTTCCTATCATATGTTAAATATTTCCCCCGTTTCTGTGTGAAATGTCCACTCAACCAGATTCAAACTGACTTCACACACACTGATGTCAATTGGACAAAGTTTTGAAATGGGGGGGGGGGGACAGCCTGCCAACAACTTGGGAGAAAAAATAGAGAAACTCGCCTCTTAACTTTCAGTTACAGTAATTTAGGAAAAGTCACTTTTGGATAGTAACTGTTTAAGTTGACTGCCCCTTGTAAGAAGTGAATATATATAGGTTCCAGTAACCAAGGTGGAACATGAGTCTATAACCGTTTGGAAGTTGCCAAGAGGCAAGAATGAAGAGACATAATTTACAGTAGTACACAGGGCTATAACTAGGAGAAAACAGAAGACTCTTAATTCAATCTTAAAAGGGTAAGAAGGGACTTCTACCAGAGCTGCTTTGTTTTAACAGCAAGGCAAACAGACCTGTGGAAATGGTCCAGCCAGAACTGTGGGTCCCAAATGTTGTAGAAATGTTTTCTACTTCCCAATTAGAAGAAATTGGACAGTTGCACATAGTAACAGTCTGACAGAGTTGGAAAAGCTAAAAATACCATAAGACCCAATACAAATGAGTGATTTGATTTCTGCATGTTACTAAAGCAAACTGTTTCCCTTCAACAGGCTTTGAACTTCCAGATGCTACTTCTGCGTGGAGCGAACATGCAGCCTTCGTTCGACTTACTTGATTAAGTAGAATTTACATTTCTCTGGGGTTTTTAACCAAAAATATCAGGTATGTTCCATTTCCTGCCTGGTTAGCCTCCCTATACTTCCTTTTTGGCACTAGCTTTCGAAAGCCACAAGATATTTTCCTAAGTGTTCAGTTGCCCCCTAGTGGGCTTCAGGAAAATAACATCCTCATAGTTTATGGCCACTGTGACCAATCTGCACTAGGACATACAAGAGCAAGAAAAATCTTAGGGGCATGTTCTAAGGAAAGACTGGAGTAACTCCACTGACTTCAACAGAGTTACTCTGCATTCATACTGGGGGAATCAAGATCAGAATCTTGGTCGGTCTTTAGGAGAGGGAACACAGATGCTTGCCCTCCTCTGTGGCTATGGCAGAGTTGCTTTCCTCTAAGTGTCTGCCAGGAAAGAGAGCCAAGGGCACTCAAACCTTTCTCTAATCCCCACTGTGAAACAGCATTACACTGCTCTAGAAACATGCTTGTGGAATTCTGGGCCTTAATAGCAATTTTTAGTTTTGTGTCGTGACCAGGGTATCATGCTGTGCCTTGCTGAAGTGCATATAGATAGTCTGATTGCTTTCCCCCCCACACACATCTGTTTAAAAACAATTTCTCCCCTAGACTGACTGGCTCCCAACATCTTTTACCCATCTAATGGTATTTTTAAACAATCTTCTTCATACCAGCTGCAGCTCAGGTTCAACGTGGTGTGATGGCCCTGGCCCACTCAATTGCCAGTAGAGTTGGGATTTGATTTTTAATACAAAAATAATGTAATTTAACATGCAGGCTCCTGTCCCCTACTGTTTGTTGCTACTTCATGAACCTGTGCTAACAGTGAGGGATGTTGGAAAAAAAAGCTCTGATCGGTAATACTACCCTTCCTCTCCATCAATGGGCATGAATTATGATCTGCAACAAAATTGATTATTACCCCCACCTTTATACCATGGTACAGGACTCTTAAATCCAGGATCACATGAAAGAGCTCAGTTGTAGCGGTCTGCTCCACCAAGGCACTTCTCCCATCTTGCGCTACATGTGCAGGAATGCTGTCTAGAAAGCAATGATGCCTACGTAATCTGTAACTTTCCTTCAAAAGGGAAGGAGAGTAGCCCCAGTTTGAGTTAGGCTTCAAGTACGTCTAAGACCAGCTGCTGTGAAACCATCTTCCCATCAAGTTTGTAACTGGTAACAAGGTTTTCATACAGTGCCCTTTAAGTGTATGGATGGTGGGCAGATCAGTGTGTAATTAATGCAGAAATACCACCCTCTGCTCTGTAACTTAGCCCCTCCCTCAAAAAGAATTATTCCTTGAGGTTAGTAATTAGGACCAACAGCTTTAGTCCAGATGGTGCATTCCTTTTCAAAGGGTGGTTTAAGTGTGTGCAGTTTAAAAATCTTTACCCTAAAGAGCTGCTGTTTTCAGTAATATCCTAAAATGAATGAAATATAAGGTCTGATAGATTTACTTTGGGGAAGAAGTTACTGTCAAGCAATGGCTCACTGAGGTTGAGAAGCCAGGAAACTGGGCAGTTAACTGTTCCATCTCTGTGTGGTGAAAAAGCATATGGGCAACACTCTTGAGTAGACACTGAAAGTGTGCTGTTTTAAAAAAAAAAAAGAGCCACACAGCCTGCAAGTGCTTTAACTCACCTTGCTTTCATCCTGTGAGAACAAGCCAGGTACTAACCCCCTTTGCTGCAGTAATTAAAGGAAAATCCATCAAATGAGAGCTCACAGCCAGCAAGGTCCAACACTTGGAATTCATTAGTGACCAAACCTGAAGAGGTAGTGTAACAATCATTCTGGGGTAGTGCAAACAGATCACCCATTCACCAACACAATTTTAGAAAATATAGCCCACATTCAGGTACTAAAATAATACTTTGAGTGTCCTGCCTCTGCATTATACCCTCATAAGGCCTTTGACATCCACAAGAAAAATACAACTATTACTTATCTCCATCATTTCATATAAACTTCATTAGTTACCAAGCACCTTGTGAAGGGAACTAAATCTTAGACAGCAGCTAGTAGGGCTAAAGACTGATTCCATGGATTGTGTCTGTAAGAGGACAGAGTTGAAACCATACTGGCTTAAAATAAATTGGGCCACACTCAGATGCTGCTGCCCCCTTTCTGCTTTCTCCCTTTGACTGTTTGGCCCTAAACCTTTACAAAGGCAATTTGAGAAAGGAGCTTGACCAGCCCAATTAAAGAGGGGTGGTGAGTATGGCTATGAGGGAATTTCCACCTCATTTCATCCAGGACAAAGGCTAGAAGTACTTCTGCAGTGGTTATAAGGCACTTAAGTTGAGCTTGCTCTTCTTCACCCACGATATTCCTTCAGCAGCTGCCCTGCTATCACTAGTCTCTGGATCTCACTTGTCCCCTCATAGATTTCTGTGATTCGAGCATCCCGGTAGTGGCGTTCCGCTGGCATTTCTGTTACGTAGCCCATTCCTCCCAGGATCTGGATGGCCTGAAACAAAAGCAGTGAGTCTTATGTCAGCAACTCGGTGCACCATGGACACTGCCCTCATGCTGCAATCCTCATGTGAGTGACCCTAGTCTAGTAGCAACCACAGGGAGGAGAGAGAGGTCATAGGGTGTATCAGTCATGCTGGCACCTGGTGAACCCCTTCTCTGTAGAAAAACTTGTTGATTAGTCATCCGGCATACCCTGCAGTGAGCACGATGCAAGATTGAGGCAAACTGTGTTGTACCAAGGATACAGCGTTGAGTTATTTGCCCTCCCTCCTTTCATTAGGTGCCAGTGCCTGATGCTGTTATCAGCTACAGGGAAAGGCACAGAAACTGAAGTGTTGTTTGGGTAAGCAGTAGCATATTTCACCATTGCACTGAATAACTCTGCTTGGGCTTCAAGCCTGCCCTGCTGCCATACAGTTCTAGGCCTAGCAGCTGAAGGGACTTTACACAGGGGACAAAATAGCCCACAGCCTTTAAACAAATGTAAGCACCAAGGCCAGAGAGGAATTCTTGACAGCAGTACCTAGTTCCTCAGCAAGAAAGCTGAGCTCTTTCCTTTATATATACTTAATTTTAAGCTTGGAAGAATTAGGTTTTTACATGGGCAGATGTGCATCTCATACACACCAACTGTTTAAAAATATTTTCATTGATAACAAACTTAAATGATAAAATAAAAATGCTGCTTGAGAACCAAGTTTGATGTAAGGATATTTACTTACTATATTTTGACACATGGTGGTATAAAGTTTTATAATCTGTCATTGTCTAACTTTCCACAACTGACAGATAACAAACATAGCTATTATCCATCAGTTATAACACTACAAGTAACATCTGGACAAGCTTCTCCCCCAGGCTCCCCTCATGCCGTGAAGAAGAGACAGATGGTTACCTGATGGGAAATGGCAGTTGCAGCCTCTGATGCAGCTAGCTTGGCCATTGCAGCTTCCTTTAAAAACAAAGATATTTTGTAGAATTTATAAAGCAGGCGCTCGTATCAATATTCATGCACCACCTGAAACAAAACTTTGTGTACACCCAAGTGAGCCAGAATTCACACCCTCTGTGATTAAATGTACTTCTCCTGATTGCTCAAATTCCAGCATGAGACTTTCATTGATAAGCCATCTCCTTCTCCACCTGTTTGATTAGAAGATGCAACTGGTGAGAGGGGCTGGAGCCAACAGCAGACAGCCAAAGAAAAAGCACATGGCTCCAGTACACACAGGAAATGGGACACACTTCCCAGATTGCTGTATGCATGAGCTTCTTTTTACTATTGGAACGTTGATTTGTAAGTGTTTAATTATTAAATTGTCAATGATCTGGTAGGTAGGTTGCAGACTTTGGCAGATACTTTGAATGATAGAAACAAAGATTAGTTAAGCCACCAAGCCTGCAATTATACTCACATTCAAAGATGGAATGGTGTATTAATGGGTGATTAAGGCTATATTGCATTCTGATGTAAATGGCCTCTTCTGTAACCTAATGGTAGCTCCTCTAAATTTAGCAAGTGTTTTTTTTTTAAATAAAACTCATGCTAATTAAACCTACCCATTGCCACCTTTTGAAGGGCTTTTTTACATTACACAATCTAAATATCTGAACCAATGTTCTTTTCATGCTATCAATAAACCGACTAAAGGGGTTTTTTAAATTATCTAAGTATAGGCACAACATAGCTCTGGGTCTTGTTCTCCATTCTGCTTTTTCCATCTTGTTTATAGTTATTTTTAAGTAAAAATTGGGCTTCACAAGTAGCACTGTATGGAAGATGGGTGTTGCCATACCAGAGCAATGGTCTAGAGGAAGCTGTAAAACCCCATTACACGGACAATTCTGTCCAAAGGAGAGGTTTCTGCCTCATCCCAGGGGCTGGCTTAGGCCCTGAAGCAAAAGGGGTTGTAGCAAATTATCCTATTAATTAATGTTATTTTTCAAAGCATGCTAAGCTCTTGGCCTTACTGTTGTTGGAAGTGAGTTCTAGACATTACTGTTTTTTAAATACAGTTGTGAAAAGTTTTCCCCTATATTGTATTGTCACTGAAACCCTGGACAGAAAAAATAAAATAAAATGCTTTTCCACTATTTATGTACTTAATTCATTTGACAGCTCTTTGGCTCAAGTCCGTTTCTCCTATTGTGTAGGTATTTTTTAAATATTAACAGGGCAGAGAAAAACTTTAAAAATCACAAATTGGCAGGGGAGATCAAGAGCAGTAACAATCTGAAACTACTTCAAATTGACTAAATTTCAGGTTGATGAAATGAACAAAGTGAATAATTAAAGAGCATTTTTAGTCTAATAGTAACAGATGTTGAGGTACTATGGCAGTAACATTAGTTGACATCAGTCTAAGCAAGTTGTCCTTGCAGAAACCCTGCAATAGCTGCTATGGGGTACCCACAATAGATGACCAGAGTCCTTAACCTGCTCTCGAAGGGGTTCATTCCCCGCCTCTCCACCTCAGCCAGACATACAAAGATGTGCTACTTGGGAGGTCCTCACATCCATGCTTAACTAGCAAGCATTCTAAGTGAGCTCTCCTCTGGCTCACCAGCGCAGTCAGGACCAGCAGTGGTAGAGGTCAGAATCCCATGTACACACTCACAACCCTCTGGTGCTAGCACAAGTACTGCTTTGTGCACCTTAAGTTACAGGGCAGGGTTTTTATCTTGATTGTCTAGCACCCTTGTACCGCCATAGCCAAGCTAGCCCTGCATACCTGGGACCCTGGCCCATCTATGCTGCTGCTATGCTAGCTCAGTACATCTCCCAGGCACAGCTCTGGGGTTACTCACAGGACTGAGGTGGGGAGCCAGGATCACCATGTTCAATTTGTGAAATTGAGCTGGAGCCTACCAAGATGTAACTAGAGCAACTCCTTGAGTTGTTAACCCTTCCAAGTCACCTACTGCATCACCCATTTATAAAAAAAATCTTGCATCTGTCACAAATGCTACATTGTGGAACAGCTTAAATTAATATAAACATTGTTTTTTGGGAGCTCTGGAGAAGGTAACTGGATGCAGGTCCCAGATCCAATAATAAGACCCATTCTCAGGCGGCCATCACATTCATTGGGAGGGGACAGTGCTCCCACTGCCCATGCTCACTTTGCTTTGTGGAGCAAGGATCTCAGTTGCCAAGGTTATCACACTGCACCTTTCACTGGTGTTAAATTCTCTTTGCAATCTGACTCAGCAGCTCCCACTTGAAAGGAATTTATGACCTGGCCTTCCCCTTGACTGCTTTGGACATAAGAGACTTAAGCAGCAAGGGGGATGCCATGCAACGTTTAGTGCCCTCTGTTAGTCATTTTCTGAGATTAACTAAACACTGGAAGAACTCGTGGTGGCAAGGGACTGGACCGGATAACTCAATAGGGTTCTCATTGCTAGATCAACAGCAGATTACAGAAAGCAGGAAGTACCTTTGTGTAGGGTTTCCCATTGTCCTTCAACATGGCTGCTCTCCAGGTCAGCAGGCGAGCACCCTCCAACGCCAGTGCCATGTCTGCCAGCTTGAACTGCAATAGACAAACGTGAGGGCAGAATGCATTTGCTTCTCACACCACCTGTGTTGACAAACCTCTCCGAAACCCAAAGCATCCCCCCAAAGTAATGGGGAAGTGCCCAAGCCACGGAGGCAGGTGTAAATCTAAGTTGCTTGAACACAGGTGTCCAGAGTTCAAGGTGTGTTACCTTCCCCAGACCAGGCCAGCTACTGTGCTAACACAGCAGGACTCTTATAGAAACACTCAGACTTACTGTCACCAGATACAGGACTATCTTCAGCTTAACTCATACCTGAATAGCCTGCAGCTTAGAAATGGGAGAACCAAAGGCCAACCTCTTCTCAGCGTAATCCACAGCACAGTCCAGAGCTCCTTGAGCTATTCCCAGAGCCTGCGAGGCAATCCCAATCCTGCCCGAATCCAAGGTTTGCTGAGACACACAAAAGTCACACCATGGACTGAAGGGTGAATATACCTGCATGAGCTAGCAATCCGCAGTCATGTTGGCACCCCCCTGGACAATCCCACAATGTATGGAAATAAAAATCCTCAGTATATTTAGGACATCCCAGCTACTGAGCTCAGAAGAGGGGAGTGAAAAGGGGAGAAAGCATGACCGAGGCAAAAATAATAAAGCAGAGGAACTG